AAAAAAAAAATTAAAACAAATCCGCCAGTAACGTATATAAAAGTGTAAGAAAGTATTTAATCGTCGCTATGATCGAATTTATCGAATTAATATAACAAATCTTCTCCCTTTTGAGTGTTGGCCTTGTAAAAGAGAAAGAAATAAAGAAAGAAAGATAGAAAGAGAGAATAAATATAAAACAACAAATTAAAATTGTGGCATTAATTAAATCAATTATATCGAATCGAAATAATGCCTATGTGTTATACTTGATTGAAATAATAGAAATCTACAACGACGGGATATAGTATTCGATCAATTATTCATTCGACGCTTATTATCTTTACAAATAACGCAAATAGAAAGGAAGAAATTATATATTTATATATATATATATATATGTATAAGGTGTCCCAATTTGTTTCCGTAAAATTTTACCAGCGTATTCAATAAGAAAAAAAAAATAGAAATGTTTTATAAAAAAAAAAAACATGGGCTTTATATTATAAAGTTATAATGAAAATATTAAACGACAATGGACTGCATTCTTGTCGAATAGGAATAAATTGTCGGTTCAAATTTCAATCGTCCCATTTTAAAAAATGGTGGTCCGTTGTTATAAAAATATAATATATATATATATAGAATTTACGAAGAGAAAATTAATTGATTGTATTATTATCAATATCTTGTTCTCGTTTATTTTAATTGTAGTAAATACTATTTCAATAATTGTTGTATAATCAAATAAATATCGGCAATGCGTTTAAATACTGTATCGGTAAAATACCAGTCCATTATCATTTTTGTTGTATATTTTAAATTAAACGTTTAAGAAAAATCCGTGTATATATTAAATTCGTTTTTTTTTATTTTTTAATTATAATGCATTCTGGTAAAATATGGTACTGGAACACCCTGTATAATATATAAATATACATAGAGAGACATATATACGAATGTATGCACACCAAATGCTAACGCACGAATAAGAAAGTAAAAAAAAATTGTTAATCGCAATAACAAGCGTCCATGATACGTGATGTCTGTATTTTATGTATTCACATTAGGAAATTAAGTGAAAGCCAAGAAAATAATACCTCGTGCTCCTTCGAGGTATGTACGATACATATCATTCCTTGTGGAACAAAATTAACTTTAGGTGTGATAATTAAAATATATATATATATAGTATATATGAATGTACATATCGTAACGATCGAAGAAATAACATTATACACGAATATTAATTTGTTTTCGAAGGAAATGAGTATACTTAAAAAATTCCAAATGTTCATTCAATTGATTTGAAATAATTAATTTTATTAGAAATTTAACACAATACACTTCGATCATAACGATACATACACGTATATCAGCATATATATACATGAAAAATGAAACAAATAAACAAACAAACAAACAAAAAGACAAATATATATACATTCTATTAAAAATTGCAAAGCTATGTATATGTATATGCGTTGAAAGTGACAATTAATATTGTTCTGTTAAACAATCGGCGTGTTTTTTTATACAATTCCCCTTCTAATGTTATATTTCTTTGTACATTGTATAATTTATTTAATAGTTATACAAGGTGATCAAATAAGATGTCTCATTTTGTTAATTTATAGAATAATTAAACTGAACAGTTAAAATATGTTAAATGTTAATTTGAAATTTGATTCCAAGTATGAGAAAAATAATAATGCAGTACAGATACGGTGACCATTATTTACTAAAAAACATCTGATAAAAAGAAATGAAAAATGAAAAAATGTTATATGACATTTTTGTCTTATGTTTTCATATAAAATTAATCCCTGAACTGGTTGTATATTTCATTTCTGCTTCATACTTTATAAAATATGAATAATTATTGTTTACTTTTGTTTAAACCCAGTGTCAACAGATTTAATTTTAAGTGCATAAAAACAGCGCAAGTGCATTAATCAAATATCAATGGCGCCACAATCGCTATAGATGCAGTTTTGGAGTGGGTGAAGGAACAATGACGATCATTCTTCGACAGCAGCTAACAAAAATGTAGTCAGTTTGTTGTCGGCATTCGTAATAGGATCTACGTTAAATTTTCTTTCTTATTATTTTCTTTGTTGCTCTTGATATAACAAAACGAGAAAATTATTACAACAATTTTATCACGATATTTTCATATTCCTAATCGTTAAAATGTCCAACATAGACGAATATTACTTGGAAATACTTGGACTGGTCAAAGAAGCTGGCTCGGTAAGCAATAAGTTTCTCAGAATCTTATGTGTCTATATGCATTGATCTTTATTTGATTATTTTCTCAAGAATTTCATCAATGAAATACATAAATAATGATCATCCTGTGTATCAGTATCCTATCGATTGGGATACAACCTTCAATTTAATTTTAGTAACTTAGCTATGTATATCTAACACTTGTTTAGCTTCATGAAAGAGATTCTTTCATAGTAAAGAATTCAGTTTTCTATCCTGTTTTCTCTTTTTGACATTATTACGTCATACATCTTCACGTGTATGCACACAAGTAATGGGGAAAATTATTCTGAAACATTTTTGAAATATTATTATTAAATCATAATGAAATTTGGCAGATAAGTAAATCGTTAAGAAATCGTATTAAAACAGAAAGTTTACTTTTAATTATTTAATTGATATCATATTCCGTAGATCGTAAGAGAAAAAATATATCAACGTAAAGATGCTATGACAAAATCCTGCGATGTTGATCTCGTTACGGAATGGGATCAAAAAGTTGAAAAACTTATCATGGATGGCATTTCTTCAAGATTTCCAGATCACAAGTATGTAAGATACTTAATGATATTATTATTAACAATATATATTAACGATAAAAGTAACGCGTTATCGTTAACAAATTCAAACGATCGATTTTTAATTTTGAATTAACGCGTAACGTAACGCAATTGGTCAAATGAATGATTGTAAATTGGAAATAAAAAAATAAATCAAATGACCAATATTGTAAGTAAGGAAATAAAAATTCTTTAATATGAAATTAAAATTTTGTTATCGTTCAATGATCTCTTATAGCGAGTTTATTGATTCAATTGACCCTTTTCTAATTAATACCCATTGACACTCATTTCTCCTCTATAAAACGATTAATAGATTTGATCAATTTAATCAAAGGGGAACCCATAATAATTTCAATAAAAATCTTCACGCTAGTAATAGTTGATGAAATTTCCGTTCCAACTTGTACGATGATTTCTCTCGAACATTTTTGCTATACCCTATTTATTTGCTTTAATAAAAAAAAAGGAAAAGAATGTTAGTTAATGACTTTTAACTGAACATAAACGATATGAAATGATTATATATGATTAATCAATAAAATTTGAATACCTTGATAATTAACTTGAATATATATATATATAATTGTTTTCAGATTTATTGGCGAGGAGACCACATCAACTGGTAAAAAAGCAGAATTAACTGATGCACCAACATGGATCATAGATCCCATTGATGGAACTATGAATTTTGTTCATGGTTTACCACATACATGCATATCAGTTTGTTTGCATATAGGAAAAGTTGCGGAAATCGGTGTTGTTTATAATCCTATTTTAGAACAGCTATTTACAGCTCGCAGAGGCAAGGGTGCTTTTTTAAACGGTGCTCCGATACGAGTTTCTGGTCAGAAAGGTGATTTATTTTTAAGCGGATCTAAAAAATGTTATTAAGAAAACTTTTATTAAGTACATATAACTTATATATATATATAATTATCTTTATAATTTTTGTATAATTTTCTTATATGATCACATACATTTATTTTATTCAACTTCGTAAAAATAGATCTAATAATTTTTCAGAGTTAAGTAAATCCTTGATCATGATCGAGATGGGTACAAGTAGAGATCCCGAGAAAATGAAAATTGTCTTTCAAAATATTAATATTTTGACACCACAGATCCATGGGTAAAATAATAATGAAACATTTGTAATAGTGTATAAGTGTATTTAAACAATAAATCAATGAGTTTATTCTTTAGGTTGAGAACATTAGGATCGTGTGCTTTGAATATGTGTATGGTGGCACTTGGTGGTGCTGATATTTGTTTCGAATTTGGAATTCATGCTTGGGACATTGCGGCTGGTGATCTTATCATCAGAGAAGCAGGAGGTGTTTGTATAGATCCAGCAGGTTTACGATAATTTAATTACATTTCTTTTTTTTTAACTGGCATTTTTATAAAAATCTTCAATATAAAATGTGTTCCCATCAGGAGGATCATTTGATGTTATGAGCAGAAGAGTATTATGTGCATCTTCTATGGAATTAGCTCAAGAATTAAGTAAACAACTTATACAGTATTATCCGGAACGAGATTGAAGATACAAATGATTATTAAATGATCATTCTTGTTATTTTCCTCATATAGTATTTACTTTTTTGGTTGTAAGTACTTATACCAAAGATTCCAATTATGTGTGTATATATATATATTATACATGATATCTTTAACAAATTATGTTTTATAATGACACTTATATAGAAATGAAAAATAAAGAGAATATTTTGAATCTTAAACCATACTTCGTTTGTTTCCTTTAACATTATATTATCGGTTGATTATTTGTGATTATTTACCTACGATAATATTATAATAATAAAAGAACAAATTTAAAATCGTATGATATATAAAATATATTTTTGCATAATTACATTTTGTACAGAAAATTAATAGATAGTATTTCATTAATCCAAAGTTTCCATATCTAGTTGTAATTGCATTATATTAATATATTTATTGTATAATATATTAAAAATGCATGTGCATATATATATATTAATACATTGTACTTTTTCATTGTGTTTCTTCAGTATATATTATACATGTGTAATATCCTTTTATTACTCTTAATTAATTATCTGAAAACTCAAAGCCATAGTGATTAGAATATTTATTAAGATCTTAATTATTGTTTGTCGTCTTATAAATAATGGATTGTAAAATCGCAATATTTTAATTATTTTCACGATATATACTTTACCTGCATACGTACTTACAGTTTTGCTTTCCTTAATGAATCTTTAGGACAAACCTTGTACCGGCTCAAATTAGTTTGATCTTTGATGATCCAATTTTTTGGATGACTCGACGATGATATCTTGTTTAAGCAGGTATGATGATACGGCGTAGTTTTTACCATTCCTTTGGGACACCTTTCATTATTCCTTCTCAGCATCTGATCTCTTCCGTTGCCTCCCCTCCTCACAGGGAGGGCTATAAGTGAAACATTACCAAATTGTCAATTAGAAAAGCATATGTTAAAGTTGTTATTGGATATATTCTTTTATTTCTGTATAAATATATACGTATATATTTTGAAATGTGCTTAAAATTTCTACTTGTCCTCCTCATACACAAATCTTCTATTTTTTTATTACATTTAATATACGCGAGGGCTTTTTCATTATTATTATTATAATTATTATTATATCGTATAATTATTATTGTTATTATTAATTATTACTATTATTAATATTAATATTATTTTTAGTATTATTATTGCGATATTGTTTGTTGTCGTTAGAAAAATTATGAAGTATAAATTCTTTGTCTAGATTACACACAACATTGTTTATGACTGTCAATAAACTATGTATGATATGTTACAAGAATCGGATATATTAAATATCCCATAAGGCAGCCCCCTATGAATACCTTGCAACGGGATCAGCGCTAAAGGCCCTTGAAAGGTCCGCTTGCACATAAAGATGATTCGAATTGATGATTCATCTGAAACATAAGCAGCCTCGTACAGTTTTCCCTTATTAAAAATTATTCCATGAACCATTTAAACAGCACTGAAAGTCTGCTCTATTGTATATTAAATAATAACTGAATAGTTTAAATAAAATATCAGTTAAAGAATTTTAATTCTTAAAACTATAATGTTATGTATTACAGAAATGTGTATATCCTGTAATATAATTGTTGTACGTATTTAAAATATGAAATAATATATATTATATATATATCTCACATATATAATAATATAGTCATAATATATCATATATAATAAGATATATATATAATAAATATATCTATGTATATGTTTGTGTGATTAACTTTTGAAACTGTTTACTGAACTTCGAATAAAAAATATTTTCGATTCACGTTTATGTTTATATGGTATATATATATATATATATAATTATATTATATATTAATTTATATTAATTTTGTTTAAGTTATTGAAGATCGATTAACAATACGATAAATCTATTATGTCGTTCCATTAAAATATAACTGTATGCTTAAGTTCGTTAATACAACAAGAAGACACACGTAGATCACTTTTGTAGCTAACACTTAAAACGCAATAAACTTGTAAGTGATATAGTGACTGAAAATATAAAATGCAGGGCTCTCTCCACTTTCTGTTAAGCATTTGTATTTTTATTTCAATAGTTGATCTACTTATTATACAATTTTTTTTCTTCTTCAGATTATACACCAAGTTTTCCTTTTTCGCTAAGTTTCTAATAGCGAATGTTATTTTTATGAATCGCTGACGTAAGAGAACAAGAAAAAAATACCGTTCCTGAACTGGGTTATGAAATTTTGTGAGTCTTACAATCTCTTGGTTTTTTTCTTTCATATAACAAATATTTAATATTAATGTATCGTATAATAATTTATAAGAGATACACTATCCGTAAGGAAGTCGCGCTTTAAATCGAAAAAGTGAAAAAAGAAAATTACCACATACCACCATAATGCTAAGTATCGATGGCCAGTTCATGCTGAAAGAGGCGGTCACTTTTTCCAGTCTGACTCATTCACCTAAGAACAACGTTACTTTTAGGTAACAAATATTTATAAGATTGGTAAGAATATATCTTTTTTTTTCTCTCTTTTCTTTTTTCTATTTTTTTTTCTTTTCTTTTTTTTTTTTTGTCAACATGAGCTCGTTACCTTTTAATTCGTAATAATGATTATTATTCGAAGATTAAAATAAAAAATGCAAATAATGTAATTACGTAATATGCTATAAATTCTGTGAATGTTTTTTAAATAATGAAATCCTACGTTCCCGGTATAATTACTTATACAGCAGATGGTAGCTAAGAATTTACTTCATTACGAAAATTGATTATGTCTTATAAAAAATATTGCACTCTATTGACCTGTATTAGTACTTAACAATCTATTAAATACATTATTTCAGATTGATAGAGTACAAGGTTGTTGCAATATGATGATATATGCATTATAAATATTTACTGCTTTATGCTCTTCGTTGTCTTGATTGAGTTACACTTGAAACTTTGCGCCGCCTCTTTCTGCTAAAACCAATACAGACAGTTCATGTAAGACAGACACCATTTACGCTAGCAATATCCGTATTTGATATCTGATAATATCCGATTTGTTTTTGGATTATCGTTAGCGGTGTCTCATTTCAAATTCACAAATTTTTGTCAATTATTTTTCTGTTGTAGAAGGACCCTAGGCAGGGTTACCTAAATTTTTTCTTGTATAAAAGGGTGTGCCAGAGCATGGTTCACAGTGATTCTTTTCCCTGCATCCAACATCAACGTGCGTTCTAATAAATCTTTAAGCTGACCAACTTTTCGACTTTGTTCGGGTGGTAATGAATTTCCACCAAGTTCTGCATTAAGGTCACGAGTTGCTGGGAGGGTGGACATTACGACGACTTTTTCCTAAAAATAAACACGTTGAACAACCTCATCTATTATAAAATTATAGCAATACGCAACGGAAGAGAGCCAATTTTATTATAGAAATTGATTATTATAAAAATAAAATAAATTGCAAATGTAAATTGTATATAAATACGAGAGAAATTTGTATGTCCAATGATAAAATATTGTTTAACAAATATAAAATACAGCTTACCACACGAAAAAAACGTAATCATAGAGAAAAATTGTAGAGAGACTTACCCGCTCAGTAACTTTATCAACTTCATGATAAAGAAAATTGCAGTTAGAGTCAAAGTGTTGATCCTTGAAGGTTCCTTTCCTTATTAGTTTATTAGGCATTTTGCCTTTTAGATCCATGAAGAACTTCAACATTTGATTATTCGTTTTGCCAGAAAACATTATTTTTCCAGTGTATAGTTCATATATTGTGCATCCAACAGACCACATGTCAATGCCAAAATCATAGGGTATACCAAGAACTAAAAAAAGGAAATATTATCTCTGATACATAACAAAAATTCTATAGCAGCAAACATGTTTCCTATATAAAGATCTATAAGTCCGTCCAACAAGTTGAGCCACTAGAAATTGAAATTTTAAATGGCCCCTACAAAAGGTAGTAAATTTAATGTTTCATGAATGAACTGTTGAGATTTACTTCTATTTCTACTACTACAGTATTTGAAGATTGTATGTACGCTACTGTTTCAATTATGTGCTTTTGTTTATTTCTACTGACTCGACTTTTTGGGTAAATAATAAATTTGAAATTTTTTTTATAATATTAGTGTACCAAAGTTTCATTCTTATTTGATCATTTGGAAAGTTAGAAATTGAAAATAAAAGTAAGATAGCTATATGAGACTAATAATCTACCTTCTCTCACAAATTATAACAATATTTTCTTCATTGTCACTCTGTCTTAAGATGATCACGCATTATAAGGTTGTCTATCCTGTCTATCCAGATAATTTTATTCGTACACTGACTGTTATAATTTATTTTCATTTACATAAAAATATATGTAATAATTAATGAATATACTTACTAATTTCTGGAGCACGATAAAATCTTGATACAAGATATGGTGTTATCTCATTTTCATGAGCATGAGATGCAGAACCAAAGTCACAAAGTTTTAATACCAGTTTACTTTCACTGACTAGAATATTGTCTGGTTTAATGTCAGCGTGTAAAATATTCGCTCGTTTTAATAATTTTAATGCAAGGAAAAGTTGTTGCGTGTACGATCTTACAGCTTTAACGTGTAAACCAACATCTTTGCCATATTTTTTTAATACCTATATAATAAAAAGAAAAAAATATATTTATAAATTATCTACATGTAATAATATCTCTATGCTTATATATATATATATTTTTATATACATACTTCTCTTAAATTCATAGCTAATGGTTCAAAAACCATACATAAATGATTTTTATGAAAAAAATGCCTAAATAGTCTCAAACAATGAAATCGATCCTCTGGATCTGCATCGTTAAGCTTTCGAAGAATTTCTAATTCCTTGAGTCCAGTACGATGCCTGTAAAAGATGTAAAAATAATATAATAAAATTGCCCGTATTTGTATAAGACTTATGAATATTATATAAATCAATTTCTTACATAATTTCATTATTCCGAATGATTTTTACAGCAACATCTAAATTGCCTCGTGCACTGTCTCTAGCCCTTACGACATTGCTAAAAACCCCTTGTCCTGTGTAACCATAAACAACAAACCGAGAATCCAGTGTCTCGCCAACTCGAACACTAAAATTGATATTACATTATTCGATTAAACTTATTTAAGAAAATTACATATATACATCAAAGTTGTAAAAACACTTCTATAGGTTCTAAAATAAATTATTAAAAAATATTTATTTGTTATAATTTTCAAGATACTATATAAAAAGTTAAAAATAAAATAGTATTATCTTACCGATAATATCCTTCCGCATCATCCCAATTATCTGTTAAACTAGGATTGTCTGGACCACCTAAACGTTTACCTTCAACGGTAGGACTCTAGAAAAGTGCAATAATAAAAATTACGATTATGATAATATAATAAATAGAATATTTCCACAAAACATACATACATTAAAATAACCAATGTTATCAGCTTCAGCAAACATATCCCATTCATTTGTTTTTTTTGTACTTTGTTTTTCATCTTGTTTAACTTTCTCTGTCATTTTTGTGTTTTCAATCTTTTCAGATTCTTCAGGTAATGCATCCTCAAATCTAGACTTTCTTTTTTTAACTGGCTGTGGTGATTTTGGTTTTTCAGGCAGTGGTGGAGTATGACTCTCCGAAGTAGATTCATTATTATTTGAAGGCATCTCTGGTGATTTTTGAGATGTATTTGAATGACTTTCTGACGGAGGAGTTCCAGTGACAGCTGTTACATCAGCAGACATATTTGAATCCTCATTTGGTCCATTTAATCGCTAAATAGAAAAAAACATATAAGATATTACATAAAATAAATGAAATAATATCTAATAAGACTCTTAAATTTATATAATCAAATACCTTGAGTAACTCTTCTCTTTGTTTCCTCCTACGTTCAATAATAGCTTCCTCATCCTCTTCTTCCTCAATGTCGATATCCTTCATATCTTCTTCGCTAGAACTGTCAGAACGTTCTACTTTTAGGCCTTCCGACAAAGAATCTTTGTACTTATCACTTCTTTCTTTTTTACCATTCTTTTCTCTATCCCTGTCATGATCTCGAATGTGTTTTTCCCTATCCCTACGATTTCGGGACAAAGAACGCGATCTTTTATAACGATCATTGCGATCTCTATCCATTCTATTTCTAAGGGGACTACGAGATCTTCTTATACTTCTAGATCGTTCTCTAATTTTTTCATGATTCCGACTATCACGTCGATCTCGTGCATCCGTATCACGACTGGCTTGTCTATCTCTATTTGCATGACGATCTCGACTAGTATGCCGTTCTCTACTGTCTCTTTTATCACGACTGGAATGACGATCTTTACTTAGTGGTCTGTCTCGATTATAACGATCGCGACTATTATGCCGATCTCGACTTGATTGCCGATCTCGACTGCTTTGACGATCCCGATTGTCTCCTCTATCACGACTATCGCGTCTCGATGAAATATGCTTTATATCAACTTTAGTATCTTGACTTTTTGAATCATTATGAGATCTAGATAAATGTCGACCCAAGTCTCGCTTTCTGTCTCCTCGTTCTTCCTCCCTGGAATAAGATAATAATAACATTAATAAATAATACTAATACGTTTATTAAATTTAACATAATATAAAAATGTATGATACCCTGTATTCAAATAAATGCAGCAACTCACCTTCTATCGTACTCTCTTTTACGTGGTTCATCCCTTCTACTACTACTAGTTTCTTTACGTCTATCTTCTTCTATCCTTTTCCTAGAATCTTCTTTTCTAGAATCATCTTTATGCCTCTCGTTAGTTTTTCGTTTCTCATCTCTTCTCACATCATCTCTTTTTATTTCTTCTCTTGGCCGGGTCTTCTCCTCTCTTCTTCTGTCAGAATCCCTTCTCTTATCTTTATGGTCTTCTCTGCTTCTTCGATCTCTACTCATATCTACTATAACTCGCCTTTCAGGCTTTGATATTTTTTTACGTTCCCTACTTCCTGACTTACTTCTAGGTCGTTTTTTGTGGAGTATATTTTCATCTTCGCTATCATCTTCTACGACTATTACATCCGGTGTTTCCGCTTTTGTTTCTTCATCCTCCTCTCCTTCATCTTCTTCCTCTTCTCCTTCTTCTTCTTCCTCTTCCTCCTCTTCTTCCTCTTCGAGTTCCTTATCTTCCTTTTCAGATTCATCTGACAAGTATTGAACTAAACACGCTTGTAATCGTTCCTATAAATAAATTATAATACTTAAAAACGTACTTTAACAATTATTACAAATATTTTAAATTATTACACGCATACCTTCTGTTTCATTAATTCCTCCAAATCAATATCATCTTCAATAATAGTACAATCGACTTCATCCGAATCAAGATCCACAAGTTTTTCATCTTCACTTTCTTCTGTGGAGACTATTTCCAACAATGAATTTTTAACTTTGCCATTCAGGCCAATTTCTTTCTGATTAATACGTTGTGATGTTTTCTCTTCCAACGCACCATTTTCTATTTCTTTCTCTTTACGTGGTCTTTTATGTTTCTTGTGTTTTTTTCTATAAATTCATTAAATGAAATATTTTATCTTTTATATTTATTAAAATAAGTTTAACACTAAATGTACCATGACTATTCAAATAATCGGTTGAAAAACTTTTTGTAGCAATTCTTATAAGTTACAGTACTATTTCATGAGTCAAAAATTCTTATTGCATAAATGGTATATTTTTTGCTATACATACATTGGAAAATATATGACTTTTTAAAGATGGGTCATTTGATCCGCTATGATAAAAATAGTATACATAAAGCATCAGTACGTTTAGTGTTAAGAGATGTTCATAATATTAATATACTTTAAATACCTTTCTTGTCTATCTATTCTTCCATCTTCTTTCTCTATCACTCTATCTTTTTTATGTTTGTGGTGTTTGTGTTTTCTTTTTTTCTTTTTCCTTTGATCCCCAAGCATATCTGATTCAGAGTCTATACCAGTAATTTCTCTTTTGGAATCTAAATCTATATCGGATGAGCTAAAATATATTGCTTACATATTATAAAATTGATATAAGATGACTTTCAAAAATATTATTATTATTATTATTATTATTATTATTATTATTATTATTATTATTAATAGTTTTATTATTAATAAAAAGTAATAAATGCTGAAATACAATAGATATTGAATTAAGATTTAAAATATTAATAAACGAATTGACTGTCTTCCATTTGGAACAGTCCAGTGAAAGACGTGAAGGTTACAAACAATCAATTTTAGGTTATTATTGAATAAATATTCGGAGAAAAATTTGTAAAAATTATTTTTTTAAAAAATCTAAGTATTATTTAATCAATATAATTATAAACGTATACAATTTTTAACGATGTTTATTTTGCAAAAATCTAAAAACAAACAGTTCTCTCACAAATATGATGTAAACAGAATGCCAAATGCATATCATTGTATACTGAACGAATCAATTGTTCAAAAAATCTGTATAAATTCTATATAACGTAAAAAAGCTTACTCACCCCATGTTGATGTTATATAAATTATAAATAATGAAAATATTATGGAATCACTGCACTTGATAATACGCATACGTTCATTCTTTAACAAGACGCCATTTTGTATTATCGATTCTTCTGTTGCTCCATCTCGAATAAAACATCGACTATCGATTATTGTGATTAATTCGTACAATTCGAATTTCGGAGTTTTTAATTAACAATAAATACCGTAAAAAATACCATAAAAAAATGTCGGACCGTCGTACAGTAGTTACAAATTCAGTTTTAATTACTATCAGACAAAGATTCCATATTTATATATTGAAATCGGAAGAATAAGAAGAAAAAGAAATCGAACAAATATTAACTGCATTATGCGCGTTTAAAGTGATTGCAATTTTCGAGATGCAGCGAGTTCACTCTCGACGCTCACGTTTCAACTGATAATTTACAGGTGTGTATAAGTAATTATTTATAACAAATAGTTGATAAAGATGCTACAAGGGTCTATTAAATATATTCCACTGATTAAAAGTCTTCCAAAAAATACTTTCCTTTTTAATTTTTAATTTTCAATGCGTTATACTACAAAACAAAAGACTGCTTTTAAATATTTATTAATTTTAATCAGTCGAACAAGAGAAAAGGGTGAAAGAGTATTGAAAAATAATAAAGATAGACTGTAATATTATGTTTATAATTTGAGATAATTTAATTCATAAAATATTTTACAATGTAATTACGAGCAATGCAACACATCCTTGGTACTATATTAGTGATGTTGTTTAGCACCTATATTTTACGTCTCGTGATAATACCAAAGATGTGTGACATTTAAATCTCGTTTTGATTCGACAGTTACGACCAGTCCTTTAAAATGTTGATTACGATAATCAACGATAATCAATAATTAATATAATTAAATCTATCGGCAATGATAATAAGTAATATTAAATATAGATTACAGATTAATAATAAATACTTAAAAGTAATACTCCCAAACAACTCTAATAATAAGTGACTGAACGTTGCCTACCGTATGCAACATTCTTGGGCGGATATATATATATATGACGAAGGGAAAGGGAAAAGGGTGTAAAGGTAGTTCAACTTTCAATCGTTCAATCATTATCGTGCCATTCATATCACGTTTTTCAATAAGAGAAGTATTCAAAGGACAATTCCGAGTTATCTTTTAGTTGCATTATCGTTCTCCTGTTAAAATATTTCATAGGAAATCGAAAAAGCATTCCGTTTTTTCTCTTTTTTTTTTTAGTCAACATTTGTCTCCTAGCTTAATCAGATTTGTAAATGTGAATTTAGTTTGTTCGACCTGTCAATCTTTCAAAAAGAGATTATTTTACAAAATTCTTAATAAATAAACATTTGATTTAATCATATAATGTAATCTCATTATCTAATATAATCTCTGACTAGTTCTTACACTCGTCCAATCTATTTTAGTTCATAAAATACCAAAGAAAAGGAAGTTAACCTATCATATTTTCTTTTATGGAAGAACTGTAAGTGACATGTGTCGTTAGCTTAAAAAAAAGCTCGTAGATTATTCTTCTTGTTGATCTTCTTTCATTTTTTCTTATAAATCAAAATAAAAATATCCATTTTGTTCCTAACCTTGATTAAAGTTTTGTTCATTGCATTTGGTAACGACAAGTACCAAATGCATTCTTGATAAGAAATAGATTCTCATAGAAATAATAGAATAACCGTTTAAAATTGTAGAAATGCTTATTTGAATAGTTTCTTAGCATTATGCCAAATGCGGAAAAAGTATTCATCCTTTCTAAGAAGTCTTCCTCTAGCATAAGAATGAATATCAGCATCCATATTATGCTCTCGCAGCCAGGAACTTGTATTTTCTGTGCTGAAACTCACAGATGCAGGTTCACCTTTGTCTGTTGCTTCTGCGACTGGCTCCACCACTGCTAATTCTAAGATACAAAAAATTACATGCATGAGTTTATGAGTTATGTTAAGCATTGAGCCTCTTTTGTAGAACTTTGTTCAGTGATGTTCACTGTGGCAAACGTCGTCTGAATGTAAAGTATATTCTCAGTTATTAGTGACTGAGACATGGCAATTAACATGTTAATATAATTATATTAATCTATAATATAATACATATATCGTACCTGAAGTTGGTAGTATTTTAAAAGGCTCATCTGACTCCAATGGTTCACTGAGACCAACCTCATTTCTAACGTAAATTCTCACTAGATACTCATGATTCTCTTGAAGATCTTTTATATTTATTTTTAATATATCAGCCTTGACTCGTCCTACTTCAATCCACATAGTCTTTTTAGCATCCCTCATAACGATTCTATATCCTTCTAAAGGTGCACCACCGTCTGATTCTGGTTTACCCCATTCTATAACCACTGTATTTGCAGCTATTTGTCTGATTTCTAGTGGGGCAGTAGGTGCTGATGGTACAGCTAATAGAAATAGAGATTTTATTAGAATAGAATAGAAATCTGTTTCATTAAATTAATAACTATATAGTTGCATATATGAACATTAATGTTATAGGTATACATACTAGCATGAGTTTTAAGAGTAACTGGTTCTGAATTTGTAGGTAAACTGAGACCCATACTATTCTCAGCAAATACTCTGAACAAAAATTCACTTTCCTTCAAATTTTCAATGCAATATTGGTGAGTTGTAGCTTCCAAAGTAACGACCTTTATCCATCTTGAACCTTTACCAATTAATGGTCGTTTTTCGATAATGTAACCTGTCGGATATTTGGAAAAGAAATATATATGTATATAAGTATGCATATAATATTATTTTATAATAAATTAGAGAATGAATTTTTATTCATTACCTGTAAGTTCAGTTCCTCCATTATTAGCGGGCGGGGACCATGTAAGTGTTACACTTTTACTTGTGAAGTTTATTACTCGAACATTGAGCGGACTAGATGGTGGTGCTAAAAATATAGAATATATATTTATTACATTGTTCTATAAATTTGTTTGTTATTTCACTCATTAAGATTTGTGGATTAGTTAATATTAATTGTGTAATGCGCATATTAAAACAAGCCATTTACTTACTTTTAGTTAAAACAATTTTTGATGGTGGAAATATGCCTAGTAATGCATATAAGTTGCTATCTGTAAGCTTTGTTATTTCTAAGCAAAAGCAAAAGTATAAGCATTAAGGTAGCAAAATTTTGATAAATAATAATAAGTAGTAATTTTATAAGCGTAGCAATGATTTTCTACATTCGTAAATTAAATTTCTTTATATTCATTAATTTATTTTGTAATTATTATTACTTACTTGCTCTCTTTCCAGCTATAATTGGTTCCTCGGAGATGTATGGTTCACTCATTCCAATTTTATTTCTTGCTGTTATTCTAAAATCGTATGCCATATCGGTTTTCAAATTTGATACACTGATGTTTGTCACCTCAGCCTTTGTGTTGCCCACCTATAATTCAATTATTTTTTATTTAATTCCATATTTTAAAAATAAATATTTAAGATTTTTATAATTTATGTATATATATACCTTCTGCCATGCTTTCTTTGATGACTCTGTCATTTCAATGGTGTAATCTATGATTGGTGAACCACCATCATTTTCTGGAGCTTGCCATTTTATTGTGAAGGATGTTTTAGTCATGCCAGAAACCTCTAAAGGTCCTCTTGGTGGTCCAGGTGGATCTATGAAAATTAAATAGAAAAAAATATAATATAATAATATAGATATACATATATTAAGTATTTTTAAATATAATCTAAGACTATGTACCATCGGACTTTCTTGTCTTTATTCGTTCAGATTCTAAAGGTTCTGATGCACCTACAGAATTTTTAGCAATTACTCTGAACATATACTCTACTTCTAATTGTAACTTTTGTACACAGAAACTTTCTATGTCTTTATCAACATCAGCTACTTTCGTCCAATTCATCTTAGCTGTTTCACATTTTTCAATAGTATATTTTTCTATTTCAACACCACCGTCATCAATTGGTGCTTTCCATTCAACTGTGATACGATCTTGCCTGATTTCTTTTGTTATTATTGGTCCTTGAGGTTTACTTGGTTTATCTAAAAAAAAAAAGTTATTTGAAATGTAAAATATAATTGACAAAAAGATATAAGTCATTTATTATTCTTATTTACCTATAACTTTGAGGTGAACATCTATAGAAGAAGTACCAGCTTCATTAATTGCTTCTGCTGTGTAAGTACCAGTATCTTCTCGGATAATAGAGTTAATAGAGATAATAGAAATTTTCTCTACAGTATGAGTTGATACTCGTTTATCAATTATCTTTTGACTATTCTTCGACCATGTTACATCTGGCGTTGGGAAACCACTGGTTTGAACATCTATCTTCCATTCTGAACTAACAGGTAGTTTTTGATTTGCCAATGTTTCATCGACAGTCAATTTTGGTGACTCTTGTATCTTCAATTCACATGTGGTTTCTGCTGTACCAACTTCATTTTCTGCTTTTACAGTAAATGTTGCTGAAGATGTTTCTGTTGTTTCCGAAATTATATATTTTGCTACACGATTTTCATAAGTTATATTAGCATTAGCGAACGGTTGATTATTCTTGAACCTAATGGAACAATACAAACAATGAATAATTCATATATTATAAATATTCATATGTAATATATATACTATAATTGTATAAATAAAATTACATACCATGTAATTTCCGGTGCTGGCGATCCACCAATGACACAAGAAAGTGTTACGCTTTGTTTTAAACCTACATTTACACTTCTTAGTGGCTCCAAAATAATTGGTGGCTCTAATTCTGATGGCTTTACAATTTTGAAATATGGTGATTCCGAAGATGGTTCGCTAAGACCTATTTTATTAACAGCTGTTACACGGAAAGTATATTCCTTGTTTGTTGTTAATTTTGTTACTTTGTGACTTGTTTCTGTAATCTTTTCTGTAACTTTGATCCATCTAAAAATAAGCAATTACATGTATGTAAAAATTGTAATAACGAATTATGGATCATGTAAAGATTAATATATACAATAATATATTTTTTTTGAATACTTACGAAGTTTCCACCTTCTCATGATATTCTAAAATGTATTCTGTAATTGGCAAGTTTCCATCTGATTCTGGCTTTTTCCAATGCAATGTAATGCTTTCATCTGTTAATTCTAAAGGCTCTGGAGTACCTGGTTTGCTTGGTGGTTCTGAATAAAAATAATTTTTTGTAATTAAGTAGAGGATTAATGTCTATAATAATCTCAAATTTATAGTAATATAGAAATCCATTATTATTTGCATTGAAGCTTTTTACTTACGTGCAATTGCAACACTTATTACTATAGAAGCATCACCATGTGGATTGAATAGTCTCAAGTTGTAATCACCAACATCTTCTTCCTGTACTTTTGTAATAGTTAAAACAGCAGATTCTTCATCTATTGAAGGAGTAATTCTCTTAGATTTTGTAACAATACGACCATCAACAGTCCATTCATCTGTTGGCATTGGTGTTGCTGTGAATTTGACTATAATTTCGATGTCATCTTCTTTGTTCACTGTATATTTTGTCTGAGTATTTGGATTAATTTTCGGTGGTGTTTCTATAATTTCAACCTTTAATCTGGATGATGTTTTTACATTTGTCACAACAGCTGTGTATTCTGCAATATCTTCTGTTGTACATTTCTTTACGATGAGTTTCTTTATATTACCCTCATCAATAATAACATATTTTTCAGACTTTTTGATGATTTCTCCTTTTCTATAAAATCAATTTATACATAAATTTTATTACAATTGCAGAATGCATGAGATTTATATACAATATGTAAAAAGGAAATAATTATTATATATACCTTAACCATGTGACTGGAATATTTGATTGAGATATTTCAATAAGGAAGGTAGCATCTTTATTCAATGGTACCAATGTAACATCTGGTAGTCTAGCAATAAAATCTACACCAGGTTCTTCGACAATTAATTTAGCTGAAGATGTTTGTTCTCCAACTTGACATGAATAGACACCTGCATCTTCAGATTCTGTATCATAGATCTTTAACTTCTGTCTCTTGCCATCAATAGAAAGTTGTACATGTTCAGAGAACTGTAATTCCTGATTATCCTTAAACCAGCGCACTAATGCATCACCTTTGGTTAATTCAATATCGAAAATAGCTTTCTCTCCTCTAGCTATTGTCACATCTTGCATTTTAGTAATGATTTCTGGTGGTAATTCTGAAATACATTAAATACATGTCTTATTATATACTGTTCTTTATAAGTAAATATAAAATGATAATTATTAAATTATTTGAAGAAATATACAAATACATACCAACAACAGTAACTTCAGCTGTACATTGTTGATTAAGTAATGTACATGTGTATTCTCCTTCATCATGAACTGATGTACTTCTGATAAGTAATTTTCTTACTGTGCCTTCTTTTACAAAGTCTAGTTTTTCATTGCTCGGTTTTAATGGTACTCCGTCTTTATACCATTCGACATCAACAGTCTCAGATGTTATTTCAACTTCTAAAATTGCTGTTTCACGTTCCTTCACTTCAAAGTCTTGTAGTTTTCTTGTAAACTCAGGTTTAGCAGCTGTAGAAATGAATCGATTCAAGTAAATTTACAATTTTTGTGATAATCAATTGTAAAATAATGAAATAAAGTATAAACATGGTTTTTATCTAATCTAGAAACAAATCTAAAGTACAATGAAATCAAGATACATACGTTTCACAGTGACAGTGCTAGATGTTGTCTGATTTTTGACAGTACACTTGTATGTGCCTTCGTCAATAGCATTTGTCTTTTTGATGACCAGCTTATGTACTCGTCCTTCTTGAACAATTTCACGATGATCCATACCACTGATTTCTTTTTCATTATGCCACCATGTTGTGGATACTGTATGAGAGGTTTCACATACAAGTTCCAGCATTTTGTATTCATCAACTGTGACTTTTTCTTTTAATTTCTTTGTAAACGTTACTTTATCAACATCCACAGTAACTTTAGCTCCATGCGAAGCCTTTCCAACTGGATTACTGGCAACACATTTATAATCTCCAGAATCTGTCTCCGAATCAGCATTTTTAATCTCAAGAGAAATATTTTCCCCGTCGTAACTTATTTTTATATTTGGTGATTTTTCCAATGGCTCGTTATTTCTATTTTTTAAAGTAAAATTTACACAATATTATATATATATATATATGTCATGATTAAAGCATTTATATTTAATTATTGTATAGAATAACTTTATATTGTAGTCTTAATGCACATAATTATAAATTAGATGTAATGTTCTTTTCAAAATTCACCGTTCGATCGTCTTATTGTTTTTTATGAAAGTCGATTAAATTTCTTTTATTAATTGTTGTTTATATGATTTCCCTAAGACTACATATACATAAGGAAAACAATATTTTTAACAAATAGAATTTCCTTTTTTGGAAAGCCATATAAACAATATTCAATAACAGAACTTACATAGAAGTTACGTGTTAGTCTAACGGTGGATTTCATGGATGACGGTACGTCAAACTTAAACTCCGTATTTTTAGATTAAAATAAACATTTCTTTTTCGAATAATTATTAATAAATTAATATAAATCAGAAATATATCTAATCGAAATTAATATTTGAAGTACATCAATAGGTATGTAATTTTTTTTATTATTCTTACTTGAATCGGTATCAAATCCATTCATATACTAAAAAATATTTAAATAATGGTAAAAACGCTAAAAGATGACCAACCAATTGTTAGACATGAAAAAATCCGATATTTTCCTTATTATAACCAACATGTATGATTTTAAGATACGAGCATTTTTTATACATTATTTTCGTATTTGTTTAATTCATTTGTTTTATATTTTAATGCTAACATACATATATGCATATGAATGATAAAAATTAATATAGAATTTGCAATATACTTGCCTTAACCAAGTTATTTCTGGGACAGGATTTCCAGTAACTTTTGCAACAAGTTTGAAGGTACCTTTTTCAGGTACTATAACTTCTTGGAATCTTTCAGTAAATAGTGGTGGCTCGGGTGCACCACTTGGTATTTCTATAAATTGTATACATTTTTTAAAAATAGAACTTTTTAATACTTCCTTGTTAAATAATAGAATTAAAAGATGAAAATATAAGCAGAAAAAGTCCCATACCCTTAGAAGATAAGATGCAGAACTCTTCGTCTTGCTGTTCAATGTTAATAAGCAAGGCAGACTTGAGATGTAGATTCACTGAAATGCATATTAGTAAAGCATTTGGTAATGTTAGTGCAAAATGCTCGTCATCGGTATGAACAAATAGTTAATAAATTGTGATTGTTAAAAATGATTGAATTAAAAAGCATAAAGAGATTCATAGAAAATTTATGAATAGCAATTATGTGAATAATTGAATGAAATATAAAATATTATCTTACTTTCAACTATCAATGTTGCTTGAGTTTCAGCTTTGCCAAGATTATTAGTAGCAACAACAGAATATTCTCCTGTATTTTCTAATTTTGGTTGGATTATGGTCAATGTATTTACATGACCATCTTGTTGTGGTGTTAAATCCTTAATTGGTTTGCCATCCTTATACCATACTATTTTTGGTGCTGGATTACCAACAATTTGAGTAGATAAAACAACGGTTTCTCCTTCTCGTACAACATACGATTGTAATGGTTCTAATATTTCTGGTGGTTCATTATCTCTAGTTTTGACCTATAATTAAGATTATATTTTAAGAATTTCAATTTGTTTATTTCTATAAAACTCAATAATTTGTCACTTACCTTTAAAGGTATTTCGATGCTAGCCTCACCCTCTCTATTTTTAGCAACAATTTTATACCTTCCTTCTTGTATTTTCTGAACTTTGGAAATTTTGACTATACTACAGTACATGTGCATATCACTTTCGCTTGTGATGACAATATTTTCTTTGCTAGTTAGCTGTGTGTCCTTGTAATACCATGAGATTTCAGGTTCTGGTACGGCTACCAGACGACTTTCAAGTATCACATCATCACCTTCATTGACATATTTTGCTTTTGGTTTTCGAGAGAACGTTGGTGGAATTCCTTCGAGAATATCAGCTAGTGAAGATTCTCTGTAAAGAAAATGAGATAATTAATTAATCTTTTAGCTACTGTTAGACTTTCTGCAATCAATTTCAACTCTCACTGCGCATAAAAACTATATTTTTACTTATTATTATAATTATTAAAAATTATTAGCAAATTTAAATACCTTGACAAACTTTTTCTGGATGGTCCAGTTAAGTCTGATCCATGATCAGATAAAGGAGCTTCTACTATTAATTCAGTTGTGCTAGATGCAAATCCTGCTGTATTCTTGGCAACGCAAGTAAATGTACCTGCATCTTCGGGGAAAACTTCTCTTATAATTAAAGTTGCTACATTATCATCATCATAATAAATTTGGAAGTCTGGTGATGGTTTAATGATAGCGGTTTGACGGAACCAAGTTATTTGAGGTCTTGGTACACCTTCCACTTGACATTCGAATTGCACTGTATATCCATCCGGCGTATGAATTGGTTGTAATTTCTCAATAAATCTTGGAGCAGATGCCTTTTCTCCTGGTGCTGGTTCTATATTCAAATTAACAATATATTAGCTTTAATTACTTCAATCATTTTATTGTGGTTCATAAAGTATAATGAAACTTACTTTCAAATACAGGTAATTTGTCGATCTTTTCATGTAATTTACGTTGTAAATAGATAGTGTAATGTACTTCATCTAACAGATATTGCGCTGGTACCCATCCTTTTTCTTCTGTTAAATTTTTCTTTACAAACCACCAGTCCTGATTTGTGTGATCTAGAAGAGACAATATAATTATACGCGAATGCCTCTTATTATCTATTGAATAGTTATAATTTATAAGTGTGTAATACTCACCAATTATGTATACTTTTTCACCCTCAACAAGATTAATTGCTTCATCTGTTTCAGCTACGTACGAACAAATTGAATACATCGTATCGCCATCACGAACAACATACTCCACTTCTAGAAAAATGATATAAAATATTTAATAAAAGAATTGATATATTTTATAGTTATTTTCATGAGTATGTTTATTCTTATACTTTACCTTCTTCGTAAATATCTTCTTCCCTGGTGATGCTAAGTGTTGCTTCTTCTGTAATTTACATTTAATGTGAAATGTCGTAAAAAAAATTAATGAATTATTAATTAAACGTAGCTAAGCAACTGTTAATTATTATAATGACGATGGTAGTTCTTATTGTTTTTTTTTTCTTTATTTTTAAAACCGATATGCTTTTCATCGCAAGTTTTTAGTATGAGGATCGAATGAAATTTTGGATACCTAAAGAAGGAATGATGTATTCGCGATGTTAACTGGAACTGAAATATTATGTTAGAAATAACGAATATATATGATGAAGCTGAAAGTATATTACATAAAAATGAAAATATTATAAACTGCAAAAGCGAACAATGGTAAAGTATTATCAAACCTTCATCGTAAGTAGATGGCCGTCTTTTAGCTTTTAATTTCAAAGCCAAGGATTCATCTGTTTCTTCGTATGAATATTTTCTTTCGCGTTTCAATTTCATTTGTACATCCCCTTCTTCGAATTCTTCTACAGAATATGGACGAGGTTGTTTCTTTACTTTTCTTCTCAAAGGAATTTTCATCTCATCGGTTTCCAGTTCTTCAATACTATATTTACCCTCTTCATCAGATTCATCAATGATTTCTTCTATGACAGGACCAGAATCATCTTCAACTTCTTGAATAAATCGAATCGTTTCTTCCCCAGTTTCTTCTGAATATGTCATTGGACGTTTCTTTGGTTTCAAACGAACTTTACCAGACATCGAAATATCTTCTTCCTCGTACGTGTTAAGTGAGATTTTAAACTCTTGTTCAACATCTTCTTTAGTTTTGGTTCGGCGTGGTCTGAATGTTACGTTTTCAACTTCGGTAACTTCCTTAATATCTGTCCTAGGCTTTCTTTTCGGTCGTAATTTACGTAATGTGACATCTTCATATAATTCTTCGACTGCTTTAGGTGCTTGTTTCGGTGGTTTACGTTTAAATGTAAATTCTCCAATTAATTCTTCTTCCACCGGTTCTTCTATCTCTTCCTTTCGTTGGATCGTCAATTGATCTGCTTCTTCTTCTTCTACTTTAGGTTTAACTTCTTTCTTTTTCTTTACCGTGATATCAGCCTGTACTTCATCCTTCGTTACTGTCTTTTCAGCTTTCTTTAAAGTAACCTCAGTTTCTTCAATGTCTTCAGTAACAGATGGTTTCTTCTTTGGTTTTCTCTTCAAAGTTATCTCGTCTACAGTTTCATCTTCTTTAGTCTCTTGGACAACAGGTTTCTTAATAGTAATCTCATCCGCTGCCTCTTCGGTTACCGGCTTCTTCTTTGGTTTTTTCTTTATGGCAACTTCTTCGGTTAC